TACTATAAGAACTAGCAGTAACCCAGATGACACCCCACCAGTAATGATAGAACAAGTCATAAAACCTTTGGCGAGCATGCAAAGAGGCAAAGCTGCTGGTGAGGATCAGGTAACATGAGATCTGCTGAAAGATGGAGGACAGATTGTGTTAGAAAAACCAGCCACCCTGTTTACGAGCTGTCTCCTGACGGGAAGAGCACCAGAGTCATGGAAAAACGCTAACATCATCTTAATACATAAGAAAGGAGATGACAAGGACTTGAAGAATTACAGGCCGATTAGCTTGCTCTTCGTAGTATACAAGCTATTTACAAAGGTAATTGCTAACAGAGTAAAGAAAACATTAGAATTCATTCAACCAAAGGAACAAGCAGGATTTCGAACAGGCTACTCAACAATTTACCACATTCATAGTATCAATCAGGTAATAGAGAAATGCTCAGAATATAACTAACCACTATACATAGCCTTCATAGATTACGAGAAGGCGTTTGATTCAGTAGAAATATCAGCCGTCATGCAGACACTGTGGAATCTGGGCGTCGATGAAGTATATATAAACATCCTGGAAGAAATCTAATGGGGATCAACTGCTACCATAGTGATTCATAAAGAAAGCAACAGAATAGCAATCAAGAAGGGTGTAAGGCAGGGGGACACAATCTCCCCAATGCTATTTACCGCGTGCTTACAGGTGGTTTTCAGAAGCCTAGAATGGGAACAGTTATAGATAAGAGTTAGTGTAGAGTACCTTAGTAACCTGTGCTTCGCCGATGACATTGCATTGCTGAGTAACTCAGGGGACGAATTGCAACTCATGATTACGGAGTTCGAAAAGGAGAGCAGAAAGGTGGGTCTTAAACTGAATCTGCAGAAAACGAAAGTAATGTACAACAACCTCGGAAAAGAGCAGCGCTTCGAGATAGGCAATAGTGCACTTCAAGTTGTAAAAGACTATGTCTACTTAAGGCAGGTAATAACCGCGGAGCCGAACCACGAGATTGAAGTAACTAGAAGAATAAGAATGTGGTGGAGCACATTTGGCAAGCACTCTCAAATTATTACAGGTAGATTGCCACTATCCCTCAAGAGGAAGGTATATAACAGCTGTATCTTGCCGGTACTTAGCTACGGAGCAGAAACCTGGAGACTTACAAAGAGGGTTCAGCTTAAATTGAGGACGACGTAGCGAGCAATGGAAAGAAAAATGGTAGGTGTAACCTTAAGAGACAAGAAGAGAGCAGAGTGGACTAGGGAACAAACGGGGGTTAAGGATATCATAGCTGAAATCAAGAAGAAGAAATGGACATGGGCCGGGCATGTAGCGCGTAGACAGGATAACCGCTGGTCGTTAAGGGTAACTAACTGGATTCCCAGAGAAGGCAAGCGTATTAGGGGGAGACAGAAGGTTAGGTGGGCAGATGAGATTAAGATTTTGCGGGTATAAATTGGCAGCAGCAAGCACAGGACCTCGTTAACTAGCGGAACATGGGAGAGGCCTTTGTCCTGCACTGGACGTAGTCAGGCTGATGAAGAAATCTAGTACAAATGTTGCGCGCACAGACCGATGTTGAAAAGTTGCAGATGCTTATATAACCAGTTGTTTTCACTTGCGCAATGATGTCAACTGGAACATGCGTACTAGCAGCACCAGAAGCTGGTATGAAGCGCTGATGCTCGCGAAGAAGCTGGCCCTGGACAAAGCTACATGAATCAACTTCAGCGCATGGCACATAACCGCAAGTGACGCTAACCCGACGGGTCGGCTCCATCAAAAGTGCACATATGTGATGTTTATAAACTTGGGTAGGCAGCACTGCAACCACCATTCACGTTTCACGAAGATTAACGTCAATTCGAAAAGTATTTCTTACACGTGGCGTAGCTCTGTGGTAGAATGCTTCATTGCCACGCAGAATGCTTTGGTTCAATTTTAGCTGGGACCCTGACATTTATTTTATGCCTTCGTTGGGTCGACGCTACGAATGTTGGGTATTTCTTAACGTTCGTGCGTCAAAATTGTCCTTGTGTGTTCTCGACGTTCCAGGGCAGCTACTAAGTGTCAGTCACCTGGGGCACATACCCGCATACCACCAGCACATACTCGCCCATTGTTATGTGCCACTACTTGGCGGGAAGTGTTTGACAACGTACGAGAGGGGATTGTGACATTTTTCATGTGTTGACCAGCTCGTCGTATTCGTCAAATCATCTTATCCTGCTAACCTAATTTTGGTTCACGCCAAGTTAAGCGGGTTAGCACGAGTACACTAAAATGTAAGCGGATAGATAGATAGATAGATAGATAGATAGATAGATAGATAGATAGATAGATAGATAGATAGATAGATAGATAGATAGATAGATAGATAGATAGATAGATAGATAGATAGATAGATAGATAGATAGATAGATAGATAGATAGATAGATAGATAGATAGATAGATAGATAGATAGATAGATAGATAGATAGATAGATAGATAGATAGATAGATAGATAGATAGATAGATAGATAGATAGATAGATAGATAGATAGATACGCTCCAAGTCGCCAAAGTTCACTAATAAATGCTTTGTATTTAAGAGTAAAAACTTTTTTTCCCTCACATTCTGCCCTTTGCTAGTGCGTGCTCTATCTCTTGAATTGTAGTTTTTTTTTTTGCTCTGAGTGACCCGCATGAACATTACCCTGCCTATAAAATAATTACATTGAATGAAACCTAAATAGTCATTGTTACAATGAAAGTCAACTATAATCTAAGGCCTTTGACGATTGAATTTTTATGAACTTCATTACGCCCCAACGATTAACAGGGTCTGTGGTGCGATACCTCAAAACCAGCATTGGTTTTTCGCGTAGATAACTCCAATTTATTCTAGTAGAACTCCAATTCTCACGTTCGACATAACCTCCTACCTCAACTGAATAAAAACTTTATTATATTACTTGTTTTAATTAGTGTTTTAATGGATGATATCTACCTCCTTAAGAAGCTCACCACTACAGTAGAGGTCACTCAATAATTCGTAATCTTTCTGAAAAACTTCACAATTGTATTTCTCCGCGTTTCTAACTAGGTATTGCTATTGAACTTGGTTGAATTTTGTTTTGTCGCAATTGTCTCTAGACGCCGCTTTTTCAAAGACCTCAAAGCTGCAATAGGTTTTTCTAATGAACGACTATACTTAACTTGTTGACCGCGCAACACATAAAACACAGGACAGGGAAGGGGCATAAAAGAAAAAAAAAGACAGCGCCGTCTTTTCTTTTCTCTTTCGCTCTTTCTCTGTCCTGTGTTTAAAGTGTTGCGCTGTTAACTAAAGCCTTACTGGAAGGCTTTAGTTCTCTTATATGACATAACCGCCTAACTCCACTATTTAAAACCTATTTATTCGGGCCTTTTTATTACCTGAGACGAGTGAGGCCTATATTCATCTCAAAAACCCTTCAGCTAAGCAGATGTGAAGAGATCAAATAAATTTTGTATTTTCCTGAGTTTTCATGATTCGCACACAAATGTTGAAACACCGTATATAGCCCCTCGAAATCGTCACATACATGTGCGGTGACGGGTCAGCGGTGATTCTTCACAGCCATCGATGTTTTGCAAGGGTGTCGGGCCGTCGACCTGTGGAACCACACATTCATCCCACGGTGTGTCGGCAACAACCTGGAACACCGTGTGTTTGTTCTATGCTCCCACGAGAAAACCAAGGCATGGAAGCCTGAGGTCTACGAGAACCTGCTTTTTTTTCAGGCATGGTTCGCCGTTGGAGATGCTTCATTTTGGCACATGATCGCTTACCCAGGTAAACTAGGAATAATCTCTAAGAATTAACGTGAGTCTGAATAAAGACAACATTTTATGGAAATATAACACAACAAATCACACATAAATGCCCACCATACAGAGTTCTAGAGGCGAAGTGTCATGCTGATATGTTCGCACATTCTTCAATTTTCTAAGTGGCTCAATGTAGAGATCAAGGAGATTCACAGAGTCGAAACAGCAACCGCAGAACAGGCGCCTGCTCTTCCTTTGTAGGCGTGCTTGCGGCAACGCTGCATTCATCAAGCGCCGACTTACCCAGAAATTTGCGTCTCTGTTTGGTAAGGCACGTTGCCGGAGCATTTGGCTATGACTCGTAAATCTTTTCGCGTAACACATCAGGACACGGCCGAGAAGGGCACACATGCACACAGGGCCAACTTGCAATAATGATTTTGGTTTTGTTTAAGATCACAAATATTATTTATACAATAAGAGTAGATCGGTACTTCTGCGTCGCTTTCTTCCGTAATTGTGACGTGTAATCAGTTATACCCTGGTATCGTTGGTGTTCCCATAAGTACATTGTCATTAGCGCAGTCATACACGTGTATGAAATCATTCATTTTTGTTATTTCTCTGGTCTTTGTACTAGTACACTGAGCAGGCATTTATTAGCTTTCTCAGTAAATAAATACAAAGAAACAGCTCCACCGGTTACCGCACTGTTAAATATATATATTGTTATAGCATGAGGGAAAACGTACGTCGTGTATTAGAGGCAAATACACCACCTATTGCTAAGACTTTTCACTTACAGTAATCCAAAACTAACACTTACAAAACAAACGCACAAAATGGTACCTCATAAACGTACACATAAACCGTTGTAATCAAATACACATCGTTTATACCTACCAAATTACACGCTACCGACCGCAGCATCAACTAGGACAATAGCATGTTCTCTTCACCGAGTTCTACAAGACATACAAAGGGCACGCTGGTCATTCAAATTATGTGACTCTTTTTAAGTGGGCACATAGCTTCACATTATGTGCACGCAGTGACTCTATCCATTCTTTGACTTTGTTTTGCATGTTGTTCTTGTACCTAAATTAGGGGCGCGTTTTACCTTGTGACGTCTCTGCTATAGTAGAGATTATATATAGAACTTTCATCAAGCATCTTCGATACAAATGATTACGAACATTTGCAATTTCACCGTTTATTTATGCTGTATGTTTCCTTTTACGTGCCTTGTCGCTTACGCTTGATGTCGTGTAGTACGTTCAGAATGTATCCAGGGAGAGTACCTAGCCACATTTCTCGAACCGCCTCTGAGAAAGACCCCGCAAGTGTCGAAACAGCGTTCTTAACAAACTCGCTGCTGCCGCTCACTGTCATGCCGATTCCCGTCAGTTCAGATGGCGCCACTGTTCCCGCAGAGACGAGCCTAACGTCCGTGCCGTTGTTCGTGTACTCGGTGAAGAACTCGACACTCATCCGGGCGTAGCGAATGGTGGACACCAGAGTGCCGTTATGCCCTTTGCACATGCTCCAGTTGATGGCGTTGGAGAGAGGCGTGCAGTGTAGCTCGAACTGGAAAAAAAAAACTAGTTTGTGATTTACAAGTTCTCATCGACAGAAATTGGTATATGGGCACTAGACAAAACACCCAGGCTTTAAATGCTTGGTGGATGACGTGAAACGAACTGACCGTTTTTATGATATCAATCTTACCCATACGTTGTAAACGACAGTGTTAAGCAGTCATTAGAAAAAACAGATTAATCGCAAATTTCTAATATAGCCATCTTTTCAGGTAAATAACTTGATTAACCTCTCATGAGGACAAGCCTCATGTACTTAAAACCATGACATGATCAACAAAGTATAATTTTAGTCTGCTTTGTACAAATTTTAGAGTTTTCATTGCAAACAGATTACCGGTGTGCGACTGTGCACAAAGGTAAGCTGAGGAATTCTGCAATAAATACAATGATAGGTGCAATCTGTCTATGAAAGCGAGTTGCATGACAAAACGGTGTTTCTTAAGAATGAATGATTCAACTTATCGCGCGAAAAAAAGTTTGGCAGATCTTAAATACAGTGAGAATCGATGATATTGCCACGTTCCATTTCACAAGTTTTTGTTATCGTTCCGAAGCACCGCACGATTCTCGGCGCAAGCCGCGCCTGCAGGTTTCTAGAGGGTTCCGGACTGTAGTAGATCATTTCGATAAGATCACGCCCACTGTGCGAACGGTACAGATTGTTCTGGAACCTACGCCACCGCCAGCGATAACGCTAGAACATTCGACGGCAAGGGTATAAATGCCGACGCGCTTCGCCGCTTGTCAGTAGTTGATCGAAGGCCGACGCTCTGTTCGCCGCTATCAGTTTGAGACTGCTATCTGTGCGAGACTGCTGCTGTAATTGGACTTTCTGTTTACCGGGCACGGGTTCGCCCAAATAAACAGTTAAATTCCAACAAGAAGTCTCCTGTCTTCGGCCACGTCACGACCCCGTGACATTTGGTGGAGGTGCTGCTTCGTTCATGTACCGGACGCCCCCGTCAAGCCGTGAACCAAGCCCACGTCGCGGAGAAGACACCGACGCCAACCAGGAGCAGCGAACAAGCCGCCGACAGCAAGGGCTACCACCGGAGTACGGGCTTCTACACGACAAGCCGCGGAAGACCAAAGCCATGACCGCGACTGCAGCGACAATGACAACCGCAGCGTCCCAGCCCACGATGGTCATGCATCAACCCAGGGAACCACCAATTTTCCATGGGTCATCGTTCGAAGACCCGGAGTCCTGGCTAGAAACATACGACCGTGTGGCCGCCCTCAACCACTGGGACAATGAAGAGAAGCTCCGTCGTGTGTACTTCTACCTGGAAGACACCGCAAGGACCTGGCTAGAGAATCGGGAGTCCACGCTCCGAACGTGGGATGTCTTCTGCGGCGCATTTCTTCAAACGTTCGCAAGCGTCGCTCGCAAAGAGAGGGCCGCTGCTCTACTCGAGACCCGGGTTCAGCTACCAAACGAAAAGGTTGGAATTTTCACAGAGGAGATGACCCGCCTATTCCGTCACGCTGACCCAGACATGCCTGAGGAAAAGAAAGTTCGTTTCCTCATGCGAGGGGTCAAACAGGAGCTCTTCGCGGGGCTCATGAGAAACCCACCGAAAACCGTCCAAGAATTCGTAGCCGAAGCGACCACTATTGAAAAGACCCTGGACATGCGCACCAGACAATATAATCGTCGCCTGACTGCAGACTGCGCTGCTGCTCAAGTCAGTAACTACGGAGACCTGCGTGAAACGATCCGAGCGATCGTGCAGGAAGAGCTGCGCAAGCTGTTGCCTTCGGCGCAGCCTCAAGTGGATTCGATCGCCGACATTGTGCGAGAAGAAGTTCGGCAATCGCTTCAAATTCCCCACGCACCGCTGCCCGAGCCGGAAGCTATGAGCTACGCCGCTGCACTGCGCCACAACGCTCCTCCCCGTCCACGCCAAAACGCTGCCCCATCGCACTTCCGTCGACAGACGCCACCGCCGCCACCACCCCCACTGACGTCATACCGTTCGCCAGCGGCCCAGCGCAGTGCACCGAGGAAGACTGACGTCTGGCGCACTCCTGACCATCGCCCGCTCTGCTACCACTGCGGCGAGGCCGGACACACATATCGTCGTTGCCAGTACCGACAGATGGGACTGCGTGGCTTCGCCGTCAACGCGCCGCGTCCACAGCCAGGAGAACGACCACGTGACATCGCCGACTACCTGACAGGAACTCGGTGGACACCGCGAAGCCCTTCGCGTTCGCCGTCGCCCAGCCGCCGCACGTCACCGCACCACCGACAGTACTCTGGCCCAACGCGGGGCCGGTCTCCTAGCCCGTATCCGGGAAACTAAGGGCAGCAACCGGTGGAGGTGCGGTTGCTGTGCGACGAACTACCGAAGATCCTCCGACGACGACGACGCCGCGACGGAGCTTTCCGAACACAATGCCAAACAGGCAAAGTCCTGACGGCGAAAGCTCACTTACCGAAGGTGGCCTGACGACGCAACAGGGAAGCAGCGGAACAAGCCGACGCAGCCGCGACCCGACGCCACGCCCTAACTGTAATGCGAGACGGCGAATTAGTGACCTCGACGTTCTTATCGACGGCCACAGTGTGACCGCTCTCGTCGATACTGGAGCCGACTATTCTGTCATCAGTGGGTCGTTCGCCGCGAAGTTAAAGAAAGTTAGGACAGCTTGGAAAGGCCCTGAAATCCGCACAGCCGGAGGTCATCTCGTAACGCCTGCAGGAATCTGCACAGCGAGAGTCACCATTAACGGCCGTATTTATCCTACAGACTTCGTAGTCCTACAGCGTTGCTCGAGAGATGTCATCCTTGGCATGGACTTCTTATGCCTCCATGGTGCTGTCATCAACCTAAAAACAAAGTCGATAACGTTATCCACAGAAGAAGCACTACCGCCGCGCACGCCGTCTGGACACCACGCCTTGAATGTGCTGGAAGAACAAGTCACCATTCCGCCTCGCTCAAGCGTCATTATTTCAGTCGGCGCTCCTAAATCACCTGACTTGGAAGGCGTCGTCGAAGGCAGTCAGCATCTGTTGGTCACCCGAAATATTTGCGTCGCAAGAGGAATTGCAGAGCTGCGGGGAGGCAAAGCAACGGTTTTGCTCACGAATTTCAGCAATGAGTACAAACATGTGAACAAAGGAACAACGGTCGCATACATCGAAGAAATTGTCGAAGCCACCAGTGCTTTCGCCCTCGCCGATTCTGCGGAACCTGCTCAGAGGAACCAAGCCCCTCCCATAGCTTTCGACGTCAATCCCAGACTTCCGAACGATAAGCAAGAACAGCTCAAGGCCCTGCTCCTGCAATACGAAGATTGCTTTTCGTCGTCATCGAAAATTCGGCAGACCCCAATCACGAAACATCGCATCATAACCGAAGAAAATGCCAGACCACTCCGTCAGAGTCCGTACAGGGTTTCGACGCGAGAACGTGAGGCCATCAAGAGACAAGTTGATGAAATGCTGCGGGATGATATTATCCAGCCGTCCAAGAGCCCATGGGCATCCCCCGTGGTGTTAGTGAAGAAAAAGGATGGGACCCTACGTTTCTGCGTCGATTATCGCCGCCTGAACAAAATCACAAGAAAGGACGTGTATCCTCTCCCACGAATAGACGACGCACTTGATCGGCTCCATAACGCCAAGTACTTTTCGTCAATGGACCTCAAGACTGGCTATTGGCAAATCGAAGTCGACGAAAGAGACCGAGAGAAGACGGCGTTTATAACACCGGATGGCCTCTTCGAGTTTAAGGTGATGCCCTTCGGCCTTTGCTCAGCGCCTGCAACTTTTCAACGCGTTATGGATACAGTACTGGCAGGATTGAAGTGGCAGACTTGCCTTGTGTACTTGGACGACGTCGTCGTGTTTTCCTCGAGTTTCGACGAGCATCTTCGGCGCCTTGAAGCTGTACTTCAAGCCATCAAGACTTCCGGACTCACACTGAAGCCAGAAAAGTGCAGATTTGCGTATGAGGAGCTCTTGTTTCTGGGGCACGTTATCAGCAAGTCTGGAGTTCGTCCTGATCCACGGAAAACAGCCGCCATCGCCGAATTCCCGCCGCCCACTGACAAGAAAGCCGTGCGCCGATTTCTGGGCCTGTGCGCCTATTATAGGCGGTTCGTGAAAAACTTCGCCCGCATCGCCGATCCTCTCACTAACCTTACCAAGGCCGACGTGGAGTTCAAGTGGGAAACGCCACAGGAACACGCTTTCCAGGAGCTTAAACATCGCCTCCAGACGCCTCCGTTACTTGCCCATTTCGACGAATTCGCCGAGACAGAAATACATACTGACGCAAGCAGCGTAGGTCTTGGCGCCGTTCTTGTGCAGAGGGCTGACGGACTTGAAAGGGTTATTAGTTACGCCAGCCGATCGCTATCCAAAGCAGAAGCAAATTATTCCACAACAGAAAAGGAGTGCCTCGCCATCATCTGGGCTACGTCGAAATTTCGCCCATACCTCTACGGCAGGCCCTTCAAAGTTGTGAGCGACCACCACGCCTTGTGTTGGCTAGCCACTTTGAAGGACCCTTCAGGTCGCCTCGCACGATGGAGCCTGAGACTTCAAGAATATGACATTACTGTCATTTACAAGTCCGGCAAAAAACACTCCGACGCCGACTGTCTCTCTCGTGCGCCTGTCGACCAACCACCACCCGACGACCCGGATGACGACTACTTCTTGGGAACGATAACTACCGACGACTTCGCTGAACGACAGCGGGCCGACCCGGAACTTAAGGCCCTAATAGAATACCTCGAAGGCAGGACCGCCGAAGTCCCGAAGGTATTCAAGCGCGCACTTGCGTCGTTTTTTCTACAAAACGGTCTTCTACAAAAGAAAAACTTTTCACCGCTTCGGGCTAAGTATCTCCTTGTGGTGCCTTCAGCTCTGCGACCAGAACTCCTGCAGGCCCTGCATGACGATCCGACGGCAGGGCACCTCGGTGTTTCTCGCACGCTCGCGAGGATACAAGAAAGGTACTACTGGCCGCGTCTTACAACCGACGTCACTCGTTATGTGAGGACATGCCGGGACTGTCAGCGACGCAAGACACCGCCGACAAGGCCAGCGGGACTTCTGCAGCCAATTGATCCACCTTGCCGACCTTTCCAGCAGATTGGTATGGACCTATTGGGGCCGTTCCCGACGTCGGCTTTCGGAAACAAGTGGATCGTGGTAGCCACCGACTACCTCACCCGCTACGCCGAGACAAAAGCCCTGCCAAAAGGCAGTGCATCCGAGGTAGCTAAGTTCTTCGTCGAAAATATCGTCCTACGTCACGGCGCCCCTGAGGTCCTTATCACCGACAGAGGAACGGCATTCACTGCCGACTTAACTCAAGCGATCTTGGCATACAGCCAAACAAACCACCGCCGGACGACAGCGTACCACCCACAGACCAACGGCCTCACCGAGCGGCTTAACAAGACGATCGCCGACATGCTGTCAATGTACGTCGATGTCGAACACAAGACGTGGGACACCATTCTTCCGTATGTGACCTTCGCATACAACACGGCGGTGCAGGAGACGACGCAGATATCTCCATACAAGCTGGTCTACGGAAGGAGCCCGGCAACGACGCTCGATGCCATGTTACCCAACGTCACCGACGAAGAAAACCTCGATGTGAGCGAGTACCTTCAACGCGCCGAAGAAGCCCGACAACTTGCGCGTCTTCGTATCAAGAATCAACAGACGACCGACAGCCACCGTTACAACCTTCGACGACGCTTCGTGGAATACCAGCCCGGTGAACGTGTTTGGGTGTGGACGCCGATACGCCGACGTGGACTAAGTGAAAAGCTTCTGCGACGGTACTTCGGACCGTACAAGGTGGTTCGACGTCTCGGCCCACTTGATTACGAGGTTGTCCCCGACGGCATCACGAACTCTCAACGACGCCGATCGCGACCTGAAGTCGTGCATGTCGCGCGCCTCAAGCCGTTTCATGCACGTTAACAAACTGAAACAGTGTTTTTTGTATTATTGTTGTATTGTAATTTATTCATTGTACTTTCTTGCATTATTATTGTACCTTCATCTTTAGTTAAAGCATCGGGACGATGCCTTTTTTCAGAGGGGGGCAATGCCACGTTCCATTTCACAAGTTTTTGTTATCGTTCCGAAGCACCGCACGATTCTCGGCGCAAGCCGCGCCTGCAGGTTTCTAGAGGGTTCCGGACTGTAGTAGATCATTTCGATAAGATCACGCCCACTGTGCGAACGGTACAGATTGTTCTGGAACCTACGCCACCGCCAGCGATAACGCTAGAACATTCGACGGCAAGGGTATAAATGCCGACGCGCTTCGCCGCTTGTCAGTAGTTGATCGAAGGCCGACGCTCTCTTCGCCGCTATCAGTTTGAGACTGCTATCTGTGCGAGACTGCTGCTGTAATTGGACTTTCTGTTTACCGGGCACGGGTTCGCCCAAATAAACAGTTAAATTCCAACAAGAAGTCTCCTGTCTTCGGCCACGTCACGACCCCGTGACAATATGTGAAGCAAAATAAGGAGGTTGATATGTCTTTAAAGTCAGCTTAACGATACGAGACAGATGTAAATTATGCCGTACGACACTTCCATGTCATGATTATTATGTTTGCGTCTGTCATTTGTGTTCGTCGTCCATTCACGTCACGTAAAACCAAATTAAGTATATGAGAAGCTAGCGAAACATCCGCGAGCGCGCTATGAATGTAGCATGTAGTCATGTTTCACATGACACGCATGTCATGATTATCATATTTGGACGTGTCAATTACCTTTGTTGCACATTCCCGTCACGTAATACTCAATTTGGTATACGTGAAACTAGTGAAACGGCCATGAGCGCGCTGTGAGCAGAGTCCGTATTGAAGGACTCTGATACGAGCGTAGCATGTAGTGATCTCTTACATGACGCGCATAATATGATTACGTTAGGACGTGTCATTTACCTTCGTAGTCTAATCATGTTACGTATTACGAAATTTGGTATGTGAAACTAGGGAAATTGTTGTGAAGGCATCATGAGCGTGTGGTATGTAGTCATGTTTTTTAATTACACGCATGTCATGATTTCCACGTTGGGGCCTGCCTTCTGAACAAAACCACAGCAAGAGCTGCAAGACCGTGACATGTAAATTATGATATTCATGATATACACGTTATGATTTTTATGTTATGATTAGTCACATATGCTTGCCATACAGTCATGCTATGCCATATCAAATTTGTAATAGATACAATTATCGAAACGGCCAAGAGAGCTAGAAGTCGTTAGTTAGTTAGTTAGTTAGTTAGATAGATAGATAGATAGATAGACGGACGGATAGATAGATAGATAGATAGATAGATAGATAGATAGATAGATAGATAGATAGATAGATAGATAGATAGATAGATAGATAGATAGATAGATAGATAGATAGACGGACGGATAGATAGACGGACGGACGGACGGATAGTTAGATAGATAGACGGACGGATAGACGGACGGATAGATAGACGTACGGATAGACGGACGGATAGATAGACGGATAAATAGACGTACGGATAGACGGACGGATAGATAGACGGATAGATAGACGTACGGATAGACAGATAGATAGACGTACGGACGGATAGACGGACGAATAGATAGATAGACGTACGGATTGACAGATAGATAGACGTACGGACGGATAGACGGACGAATAGATAGATAGACGTACGGATTGACAGATAGATGGATTCAAAGTCGCCGAAGTCTGCTAAGAAATGCTTCGAATTTAAAATCAGTTGAGAGATAAAATTGAATATCAGCGTTACGGGGATATGTCGGTGAGCTCACGGGATATAGAACGCTCGGATTCATTTGCAGGTCAAGAACGGCACCTACCAATGTTAAGTCGTCATTGCCTCGGCAGTATGTCTGAACAGGTCCCAAAAGTTCACAGTTTTCAAGCCCTTTGAGCGTCGTCGTTGTCAGCGTCACTCCGGGAAACCAAACCGACTCGCGATTCAGGGTTTCAGTATATTCAGCGGGCAGTTTTTTTACCAACTCGTTTACTGCGACAACCACTTTCAGTGCTGTGCCATCGCACGCGGAATCTGCAAAAGGAAAAAAAAACATGTAAATATAAGTAACGGTCTTTTTTTCTTAAACTTGCGCTGAGTACACTGGACTGCGTATACAAATATGTATATGATGCGGCTAATATTTCAGTCATATCTCAGACACACTTCTATCTGTGACTTGGGTTTTTTTAATGTTTGTTTTACGGTTACCTCAAACGGTCAAAACTGCCCAACGAAAGGTGTTTAATAAGTCAGGACAAGACAAAAAACAATAAAATTTCACAGTAATTTGAATAATAGCGGCAGGAAACGTTTTTATAAGGAGCAACTATTTGAACAATTATGAGAAAAAAACATTGATAGTTAGAAACACGGGGTTAAGTTTGTGCAGGGCGTTTTTTTTTCATTCGCGCAATGTAAACAGTTCCAACTCACCTGTTGGTTGTCCGAGAGACAAGGCTGTTAACACTGCCAGTATCGCCACAGCCGCCATGAAAATTGTTGATGCTGTGAACACGTGTGAGTTTTTTTTTACACTCATATTTCTACTTCAGTATAAAATATTTTTGTGTACAATGCTTGCGGAAATAGTTCAATATTGTCAGGGTGTTGCTTTCAGCAAATCGACATTTCTTGCGTGCATGCCTACCAACTAGACCACGGGCATTCACACAAAATTTTATTGGTGCTGCCATTTCGGCTACTGCAACCTTAATTAAGCATCGGGCACACTGGCACGCTCACATCGAACCATATTTTTATGGCGTAGTGGACTGCACGATTGATTACAGTGAGTACGTCAATCACACAGAAACCCTGAATCACGTGCGCGTACTCGAGTGGCTAACTGGTATATTTGATGGTAGATTTGTAGAAGCGCGCGGTCATCTGTGATAAGTCGATAATGTTGCAGAGAAATAGGCACGAAGCTATTACTCTAGACTATTAGTGCACGCTCGTGCAATCTGAGTTCTGTCACTACTTACCACGTTTCAGGATTACAAATATAGGAATAGACATTCACCTCTTTTTCTACGCGAATCATCTTTAACTCACTTGTTACGACGCGCCATCTGAGTGTTGCACTTCGACATGGGAACATATATAAAGAATCGCCCAGCAAAATGAACGCTCACCAAGCTGTGACTTGTTCTCTGCTTTCTAAGCACCGTGCGTTTTCCTGCTCCCAGTGGCATGCAGGGAATTCCAGTGTGTGTCCCAGCATTCTGCGGCATATATACCTCGGTAAGATCTCGGTGACTGACCTTTACACTTCGGAGCAAAGGCGTGTTTTCCGACACTCCCTTTCACTCGCACGTGCCGAGTCGACGAGAAGCTACACGTGCCGTGAAAAATACCCTTCTAAAGTTCAGGAACACGCGAAGTTAAGCAACCTTGCCACGGACAATTTTCTCTGGTCCAATCGCGCGGTCCTTCTCCACAGCCCTACAACCGTTATGACCACCCACTTTCAAGGTTGTCCAAGCAATTTAAGAGCCGGAGGCAACTTTTAAACTGCCACGGATGCAAAACACGTAAACACTTCATGGTGCACACAATTTTTTTTGTTTAGTTACAACTGTGGGTGCTCATTCACAAAAACACAATGTTTCAATGTTCATCACGTTCTCTTGCTCTCTCTGTATGTATCGTTTATGTTTAAATACCGTGCAATATATAAGTGCGTAGTACTAGCGTACTATGCAAAAAACTATAAATCAAACGAATTGTGTAATCATGGCATTACTCATTCTCATTGTTGTAACACGATGAGAAGGTACATGTTTATCATTGGTCGTTACTGAACTAGAGGCCTTTACTATTCCATTCTTTTTTGCTACGTTAAAACGACAAAGAAAAGTTTGCATTGGGATAATTCGGCCACATTTGCGAAAACAGAAGGAGGAGGAGGAGGAATAAATGAGGAAGAACAGGGAGGTTAGCCAGTTCTCAGACCGGCTGGCTACCCTGTACTGGGGAAGGGGGTAAGAGGATAAAGGATGAGAGAAAAGAGACGTTGTAAAAAAAGAGAGAGCGAAGGTCATCAGACGATCCACGACGCTGTTTACAGTCTGTCTCTAAGACAACTTGCCCGCAGAAAGCGCAACAACGCTCTCAATGCCTTGCGTGCAGAGGACGGTCTCGGCCAGTGTCCTAATGCCCTTTCTTCCGACAATTGGCGGTTGTCTATTCTATCTAAAGCTTTTGACAGTTCTTTTCCTGGCACGCTGAAGCGGGGACACTCGCAGAGAAGATGGGAGAAAGTCTCTGCGCCGCCACAGTTGTC